CAACTCAAAAAAAAAAAAAAAAATTCCTCACTATGTGTGAGCTTTTTCTTCATCAAGCTGCTTCACAAAGCTAGTTTACTCTCACATGCGTATTATAACTTAATCTTTTTACCAGTGCTTTAAAGTTGTCAGGACACGTGTTATTATGCCCATTTTCCAGATACCCAAGTCTCCAAAGGTTCATAAGCAGCAGACCTCTGACACTAAGCCATAAAGTTGCAACAAAGATTCTTTTCTTGGCCAGACTACAGTCAGGCTTCTGAACCTTCTCCTAGAGCCGTCTGTGGGCTCCTTTATAAGATCTAGTTTTAGCAAAGGTCCCTGCTAAGTTAGTTTAGCAGGAACTTCCAGCCCTCAATACCTAATTACCTTCGACATCTGATGAGGGTCCTCATCCTCTACCTACCCCCGGTGACATCTGATCCCCCCCCCATCTTCAGCAAGAATCCTGCCTGTTAGGTTGGCTCAGCCAGAATCCCCCCTTGACCCTGATGTCTCTTCTTGGTAATTTTTCATCCACTGACGCCACCCTTCTCCTTGGCTAGACATTCCCACTTGCCCAGGCTGTCTTCAGGGTTGAGCCCAGTCTCTCCTCACTGCAAGACCCCACTGCAGTGGCCCCTGTACCTATTGCAGTGGTCCTGAACAAAGTCCTCCTTACTGTGCTTTTAACAAGCTTCACTGAACAATTTTTTTCTTAACATTTGTCTAACTACACCACTCACCGTGCCCTTTTCCCTTTTGCTTTCTTTGGCAAATGTCTTTGCAGTTTTCCAACCTGCTGCTCATGTAAACTCCTTACAAGATGAAAAGAGGAAAGCGCTCAGAGTTATAGTATGTAGAGGCTTGCCCAGCTGTGCTCTAAGAGAAGTCAAGGTTGATCACTCTCTCCTGGCCAAGCCTGCTGATGGCAGCAAAAATAAGTGATGGCGAGAATGAGTGAGGACGATCTAGAAAAATCACCTTTTTAGAACAAACTGTGACACCACCCACACACACACACACACACTGGAAACAGAAGGATCCAGGGACGACAGTAAACACTAGAACATTTTCCCCTTCTGGATTTCTGCTACAAAGGGCACAGGGATCCTTTTTTTTTCAATTTTTTTATTTGAGTTGGAGTCTCAATCTGTCACCCAGACTGGAGTGCAGTGGCTGCTCCCGGCCACCGCAGCCTCGACCTGCTGGGCTCCGGCAATCCTTCCGCCTCAGCCTTCCAAGTAGCTGAAACTACAGGCATGCGTTACCACGCCCGGCTAATTTTTGATTTATTTTAGAGATGAGGTCTCGCCAAGCTGCCCAGGTGGGTCTCGAACCCACGGGCTCAGGCAATCCACTCACCTCAGCCTCCCAAAGGCGCGGGATTACAGGCTGAGCCACTGAGCCTGGCTGGATCCTTTTTTTTTTTGATCAAGCCAAATAATCTCCCAAGACAAAAGAGCGTGGAGTGATGTTGAAAAAGTGAGAGAATCCAGAGGGCATTTAAATGAGTTCAAGGAGTTCAGGTCTCCAGGCCCACATATTTTATATTCCAAGATTCAGAAGCAGCTTCAGACATGATCACGGAACTGTTGTAGGTGACCTTTAGGACAATCATGTGATCATTTTCAAACCTTATGAAGGGCTGACCAGATCAACAACTAGATGTGTTTTGTGGAGAAAAGGACTAGGATCAGTGAGTTAAAATGACAGAAAAGCATATTTTTGCATTAATGTGAAGAAATTTTAGAAATAAGAATCTCCCAAAGTAGAGAACTCTAAGGTGGTAGGCTCAGCCGGATGTGGTGGCTCAAGCCTATAATCCTAGCACTTTGGAAAGCTGAGGTGGGAGGACAGCCTGAGCCCAGGGGTTCGAGACCAGCCCAGGCAACATGGAGAGAACTTGTCGCCACAAAAAATCAGAAAAATTAGCTGGACGTGGTGGAACGTGCCTGTGGTTGCAGCTACTTGGAAGGCTGAGGTGGAAGGGCTGCCTGAGCCCAGCAGGTGGAGGCTGTGGTGGCCGGGAGCGGCCACTGCACTCCAGCCTGGG